AATAGTAGTTAAAAGGAAGACTTTCACAGAACAAAAAACTTATCTGTTAGTTTTGCAGAATATTAACTATTATAAATACTAATCTACAGTTTTTAGTATTGTGAGGGACTCACATTCGTAAATTAAAGCAGAAACCAACCTCACACTCTCAAAGTTGCTTTTCTAGCTGTAGGACAATTGCTCAGCAGTTCAATTCACCAGAGATGGATGCTTAACAGATGGTGTGGAACCAGCATTTCAAGTGAACTTGTTAATTTGTTCAGTTCCGTCTAACCGGTAAACTGCACTCTTTGATTAAAAGTCATGTACAGCAGCACATGGCTATCTAAATGGAAGTCGCAGGATGCATAGTGCCTGACCTGAATAATTTGAGGTTTCCCTGCATACAAGAATAGAACAAAAAAAAAGCACAAATGGACTCCATTCATGCATCACTTGACAGTTGTAAGGTGCTGATACCCCATATGCATCAGGCCTACAGGAAATGAATACTCTCACATAGCTCTTCTAAAGGAAATGCAGTCACAGCAAGAGGTTGACATATGCATGCTAGAGGGTGGAGGAGGGACAGGAAGTAATCAGGAAAATATGTGAATAAAAATGAAAGAGCTCAACAAATGTGAGAAAAGCCTTCCTGCTCCTCCAGAGATATGGACTGCAAAATGCTAGAATAGATCCCCTGCAAAGAGCTGCTCCAAGCTGCTTGTATCATATAAGCTAAATCTCATTTTTTTCCTATTAGTGTTTGCCATTTACCCTCACTGCATTTACATCATCACCAGACATGTAAATCATATCACCAGGTATCTGCCTCACTTCATAGAATAAAGCCAAAATAGTCCTCTAAACTTTTGTTTTGTTTAAACACTATCTTCTTCAGCTTCAGGATCCAACTTTTGATTGGAAACCCAGGCAAGATTTGTAGAAAAAACAAAACTGTATGGATAATCACAAAGTGAATATACTAGTCATGAACTACCACACTGTTCTGGGTAATATTTCTGCTTAGATTATGATAATTCTTGCATAACTTCCAGCTCATCATATCACCTGCAAGCCAGTCTGTCTCTCTAGAGAAGCTTGCCATTCAGCAATAATCATTCAGCAATATATGAAGAGGCTCTGCTATTGCTTCTATCCATGTGCAGTTGTAACATTTTAGGTAACAGGGCAACTCAGCACTTCAGGTAACTGACTATACCTAAAAGCCTTCTTACAGGCAATTAGGTCTATAAAACTAATGAATTCTGCTTGCTTCTAGACAGTGCAAGCAAGCAGCAGGAGAAAACCTGCTTTGCTGCCCACATCAGTTTGGAAAGACCATATTTATGCATATGATCATGCCACTGGTGACGGCTCTTAGCATTGCCAACAACCTGTAAGTCTCATTCATTTCAGTAGGACTGACATGCTCAGCTTTACTGAGGGTCTATCAATACTGCTTTCCTACCTCTGCTACCTCATGACTTCTTATGACAGAGTTTCTTCTAGAGGATAGTATGGTATATAGGGTGGGGACTGGAAAAATATTTTTCAATATCCCTAGATTAATTTCTAATGCCATTGTTAAAGGAATGTGAAAGCTGCAGAGTGACCTTAACTCTTCTCCACTTGTTTCTGTCTTGTCTTTTCCTCACCCCACCCCCTCTAAGTCAGGCACTTATTTTTAGACAAAGAACAGATAAGCAGAACAATCCATTTCAGGAGAAAACATCTTCAACTGTCACTCAGCTCACTGACTGTAACTCCTGTGTCTTAGGCTGTTGAGTATTTAACAGTGAGCTGATCACTGAACCTACCTTAAGGGAAGAAAATAACTGTATCTCAGTCAGCATTTTAAAAGCAATTCTTTAAAACTGAACTACTGTGCCAAACAGCTTTGATTAATTACCTTCCTTGCCCACTGTTTTAAAAGCATTTTCCTCAACAGCAGCATTTGTGGTATCACAGCGTCAGACTGTGCTTTTGTCAAGCTTCAAAGGCCTCCAAGTTTTCTCCCTTGCTTCTCAGGTGAAGTTCAAGCTGAGTGGGAGTTGTAAAGTAATGGCTGACAGAGTGCAGGTCAACAGTCAACTAAGCCACAGCCCTAGTTCGTTAAGTCCAGCGTAGCCACTTTCTGTCTAAGTGTGGGCCAGCTTCATACTAGCTTCCCCTTTCAGGGAAGTACTTCAAAACATGCATGTGTAAGACTATAGATGGGATGAACAATCCCAGTGTGGTAGACTGTTGTCACCATCTTTCTCAGGAGGTCAAAGGCAACTCTCTAATAGCATGACTTGTGGCATGACAGAAGAACACAAAGCCTCCACGAGAAAGGATGAGTCTATTTTTTTTTCTTTTCCTCTGTGCCCACCCAGTCTTACTGCTTTTGGACCATTAGAAAATAATGAGCATGTCTACATATGAACTCTATCTGCCTACATAGAGGGATACAATGCATATGTAGAAAAAAAGGGGCACCACACTGGTATTAAATTCCATCTGGTATTAAAAGCAATTTTAAGACCCTTAAAGCTGAAGTGTTTGGGGTTTAGGACTCATCTTGCACTGAGGGAGTCCAATCCCATCTCAGGAGAGCTGTGGATCAAAACCAGTCCACATGTGTGGCATGTGGATGGCATCCACTGGCAACATTTAGAGCTGTGTGCCTTTCCCAAGAAAGGGATTTTCTTCAGCTATTTTCCCTCCCCGATAATATCTTGAGAATGCAAGTACATCTTTCCTTTTTCCCCATAGTAATATTGCAATTATGGCTAAATTCACAGCTCAACTCATTTATGATGGCAAATTGCTGATTAAAGGGAATATCTGAACTGTTTGGAGATATATTTATGTGAGAGATGTTAAACTAAAAATGGACTTTAAGAATGCTATCATCACCAAGTTCCAATTAAAAAGCTATCACAACTAGCAGACTTCCCTACCTAAGCTCCCCATGCTACGTAGCCTAAAGAGGCTACATTCATTCTGCATGCCTGCTTTTTCCTCCTAAGGCTGGCTACAAATTGAATCCAATCCCAAAACAACTAAAAACTGGGCCTCACTGGGAAAGAGTTCAAAACATTTAACAGTGCTTTCTCACACTTCTACTGCTGGAAATGCAGCCAGCTGTGTGAAGAGGTAATTTCTCCACACCTCTGGGAATCCAGCCTTTGCAGTTTCACTCCTACTTACCATATGCTCTCAAAAGCCCTATGAAAATCTATAGCCTTTGGGCATAGTGAGTATACTTTAAGAGATTATAATCTAAGAAAATAGGTTCTTTGGGAAATAACTGTTTTTTTCTTTCTGATTGTGTCATATATAGTGCAAGTGCCACAGCCCCAGCCTTTGACTGACAGCTTCTAGGTATGACTTATTAAAAAAAAACATAATACCATACAGTACACACTGCAAAGTGTTATGAAAATGCCTACAGAAATATGTTGACACCTCTCCATACTTACCTTGGGTGGGATAAAGAAAGAAATACCAAAATTATTTATCATACTGAAATTAGTATAAGTTTACGAAATTAGTTTATTTTTATGTACAGGGCTCCTTTTTGTTGGTTTTTTCTTGTTTAACAGTGACAGAACAGCCTTCTTTGCAATTACTACGCCTCTTCTTCAAAACGGGTTATGACATGTTCCTCTTACCATCACAGGACCTAGTATTAAGTTAAATGTGGCTCTGTCTTCAGAGGAAAGAATATTGTGCATAGGAATAAGGGACATGAAATAATAGAGATCTTTATATTATGAATATGAAATGCTGCAGTTAAGATTTAAGAAGGTCACTGACGACTGAGTAGTGATTGTTGCAGGGAAATCGATTTGGTACCCACAACTTCACAGACTCTGTTTTCATTAGGCAAAAAAAAACCCCAACAAAAAACAAACCCGAACAGTTTTCAGGATAGTGTAGTGGCTTTTTTTTTTTTTTTTTTGCAGTGGAGCAGACCTTTTGTTTGCATTCTGTTTGTCTGATGAAATCATCCTGGTATTCCTTTTAAACACTCATGTAAGTAACCCCTCTCATCACTGCCCTGCAAAACAAGCCTTCTGCAGATGATTTGTGGGGACCCAAGATGTCTCTAAAAAGATCTGAAGATTCCGGAACAGATTTGAGATTGTCAGAGTAGAAACAACAGAAAGAAAAAAAAAAATAAAAAGAGAGAGGAGCCACAAGAGAGTAGAAAGTAGTTTCCAAACCAGAAGTTACACAGAACTATCTAGCTTGATAAGAAAAAGGTAGCTAAGGAAATACTTATAAATTTCCTGAAAACTGTCCAATGATTAAAAGCCTTTAGGCAACTGAGCCAATTCAGGTAATAAGAGCACTCCACTCTAACAACTTAAAATACTGATCTTAGAGGAGTCAGCTAGGAAATACATCGACTAATCTGTAATCAACAGATACACCAGGTAATTAATTATTAAATAACATGTTGTTTGCCAGCTGCAAATGGAAGGCTTCTGCATAATTTAAGACAGTATTTTAAGTACTAATGAGACTTCTGCTTGACATGTCTCATTTTCATCTGATTATTGCTCCCCCCCAAAAGAGGGGACATGTATCCCTATCTTTATCCAGTTTTAGCACCTAGACTTCACATATCTACTAGCAGTTACATGATCATTTTCTAAAAATATAGTTCTATATTCCCATTCACAGTTGTTCTATTCCCTTCCCTCCAAATAGACACCACCATATCATATCATTGAGGCCCCAATCAGCAAAAAAAGAGACACCAGCACACAAAAGAGAACTGGAAGCTTACTTAAAAGAGACAGCATAATCATTCTTAAAAATATACTAATGAGAACTGTCTTCTTGGGGCATCATCAATGCCAGGTTGTACCTTGAAGTGGTAAATTTTAAGCCCACATTATATTCTCTTTTTTCAGATCTAGCTGCAAAGATCCTCTATTTTGCTAGGCCAGGTCAGTGTACACATAACTATTTCACTGCTATTTTCCAACCTAAACAAGCTCAACAAGGCTTTTTTGCTCACTTACTCTGGAGATGGTCAAGGGCATGTTGAAGTCCTTGCCCCCTTGCAGTCGGAAACCCCATGGTCCAGGTCCATTCAGTGTCACGCTGTAAGCCATTGTGTATCTCTTTCACACAGCAACGAGAAGGCACTGCAGAACAGAAGGATAGGGTAGACAGAGAAAGTGAAAAAAAAAGCCAGAATGAAAAGAGGGAAGAGTTTTATATAATGAAAGTGATTATCTTTCTGCCTTGCCTGTTGGGTTGTGCTCTGATATCACCTAAGAATAGATGGGAACTATAATGCAGATGCTGATATCCCAGCTGAGTAGGGTCCATAAAAGGTGTGTAACCAGACACCTACTATGCAAAGACTTCATGACTCAGAGGTCTAATATAGCCCCCAGGGAAGGGGACAGATCTTTCTAGGCTTCTCGAGCCCCTCTTCATGCTCAGTTACCTTATGGGCAAAAGACATCTTGTAATAAAACAAAACTCCACGCTAAAATCCCAAACACCCAAAACTCTTTATTAACCTGTTTGCAGCTACATAGCCATTTTTAACTTTCTGCTTCAGAATGTTTATTGCACTGTGATATACAATGTTCTACAAACAAGTTTTTTTTTAAACAGATGTTTCCATATGTAGCAGGAAAGGCACCAAAGTAAGTGTTTACCTTTTTTTGCATTAGTTTGTTAAACTGAAAAAAGTACATGCCACATGCATGTAACATCACAACCCCCCACCCCCCCACCCCGATTTCATGCTTGGCTCTTGGTTCCATAGCCCTTGCCTTCCCAAGGTAAAAAAAAATGAATTCTCTTTGAATGCAGACAGAGGTATTGTGAGTTATTTATAATCAGCATTTAATTTCCTTGGCAAAAGCCCAGTTTCACCACATACCTGTCTCATTATTTTGATGCAAGTGTTCTAAAGGTGTGACATTTAAGCAGAAGGCTAAGAATACAAATAGCTAGCTGCTTCCTTAAATCATTCCTTGATTTTTCATAGTTTATATTCCCATGTTAAATGTTCCATAAAACTTTATAATTCTTGCTCAGTAATGCTGGATAGCATTTCTGTCTTAGATTTGCAATAGCTAAAATACAGAGAATATGAGGGAAGGCAAGAAGTTGTTGGCAGAACTATAGATACAAACAAAAAGCTTCTGCTCTCATGGTAAAGCTAGAAACATTAAATAACACTCACCCCTTTCAAGTCATTAATACACACAGGACCTCCAGAACCACTCTCCTGTAACTCCACAGCATCCCTGCCTTTATCCTCTGGTTAGAAAGAAATTCCCGTTACATTGCGGTGGGAGGGCCAAAAAAAAAAAAAAAAAGTCCCATGGGTTCTACTCTGATAATCAAAAAAGACAACCAAAACCACATAATGCACTGGAATGAGGTAGCTCAGTTTGAACACTGATAGTAGGGCACTCTGCCCATACACCTACCTTAAAACATGGTAGAAAAACTGATGGCGAAATGGCAGAGAGCAAACACTACCAGGGGCTCAGTCTTTATCTGAGGAGATGGTCAATCATTTTTCAAAACCATGGGGCAATGTGTTTAGTATTCACAGAATACTAAATGGCAGAAAAGTCATTTGTACAAGGGAATAATTAAGTTCTGCATACACACCAGACTAAACTATGTATTTTTCAGTCAGAGGTCCAAATTAAACCACAGCAATTCACATGGATGTGAATGAAAGTTACATTAAGCCAGCAGAACTGCCCCAAACCAAAACCAAAGCAAATAGCAAGACACAGCTTGAAAAGAAAATGGGTTTCTGATGTCTCACAAATGCCTCTAGGGCACATTTACGTTAACAGCTGTAACCTACTCTGTATGAGTCCAGAACCAGTGATGTTTGGATGATGACTTTAAGGGAAAACAAAACCAAATTGTTGCAGTTCAAGTGGCAGAGTTTTCATTTTTTGTTTGGTTTGGGGTTTTTGTTTGCTTGGTTGGTTGGTTTTGAAGGTCATCTGCACACACAAAAAAACTGAAGGTAAATTGTCATTGCACTATTCTTTTCCTAAGAATTCATTACTGTTTTTTAGTGCCTTTTCTTGGCTCCATTTTAAAGATTAAGAAAAATGGAATAAAACCAGAAGACTAACATAGCAAGTCATTGCTTCACTAGTAAAGGCAGTATAACAGAATAAAAGTATTAAAAGAGAGGTTACTTTTTTTATGGATTGTTCTGTGTATGTTGCCTTCCTATACCTAAATCTTCAGTCAGGGAAGAGGGGGCGCAAAACCCAGAACACAATAAAACTGTACCGCAAGCTGAAGAGAATAACCATCAAGAAAGAGAGATGCTGTTTAATCAAATTTTATTCATTTCTATCCTGCTTTCACATGTTTAATATGACATTTGCTTATCAGTTTAGGACGTTTGAAAGGATCTGAGATCCACCAGGCTGGGTGGTGTGCTAGGAAACTACAGCGGTAATCTCATTAGGGGCACTGTCATTTGAATGAAATGTTAAACTGAGGTCACTCTTTCCTACTCCTTTGGTTTCTGTCCGTGTCTGCATGAACATTCAGCATTGCTTGGCACTTTTAAAAAGAAAGTGTAGACGATATTCCAGTGTCCTGGCCAACATTCCCCTTCAACACAACAGGACCACAGCCCTTTCATGTCCCTGTACTATCACTACCAAGTACATTTTTGAAGTATAAATACTCCAGTTTTCTTTCTCCAGCCTTCTCCAAGTCCTTCCCTCCTATGTTTGTTTCCCACCTGCCTTACTGGAGAAAGCTTTATGGCTAATAATGAAATGCAAACAGTAGAGGAGCTCATGTTGTAGTCACAGCTCCATTTGCTGAGGACACCATTTGCATAGGTCTCACTTGTCTTCTACAGACTTTTAAAACAATCAGCCTTAAAATAAAAAAGCTGGTGATCTAGGCAGATGACTGCTTCAACCCTGCCCTGTTTCCAAAGGTGAGAGACATGGGTGTTCTCACCATGTCAAACATCCAAAACAAACCCAGCAACTGGACTGGTGCAGCAGGTACAGCTCCAACATGGTTACCAACAGAAATCTCAGCAAAACCTCCTGGGAAACCTGAGGACAAAATAAACTGTGTGTACGTAATAGAGAATCCCCTTGTTTTCAGCAGCTTCTGATGTTTAGATAAGGTTTTAGTTGCTCTACATAACTGCCTGTTAGATGGTCCCAAAAATAATTGTTTGCTCAAACAACAGCGTTTTGTTTCTTTTGGTGAACCTTCTTCCCTACATTCTCCAGCTATGTCAAAATCTTGCTTATAGTTCTCTCCCTTCAGGCAGAAGCTATGCTGAGTCAGATGAGGTCACTGGTGTAAGGGGTGACATTTAAAGGAAAAAAAACAACCAAACATATTCCAAGAGCAGGGTGACATTTTCTCTACAGACATCAAGACAGAGAATTGTCCAGACCTCACCAGGTCCCCCCCCCCAGGGCTGACTGATGGGAACAGCTGTGACGAAGCTGGATGGATACCTCTACAGTAGAGGAGAATGACACCACCTTCAGCAAATATTCAGAGCCAGAGCAGAGCCATCCTTCCACGTCAGAGACCTTGCACTAGCGGAAACAATTCACACATGCTAAGAGACCACGTTGTATTACAGTGAATTGACTTTGGGAAAGCTACAACTGCATGCTTGGAAGTGCATCACCAGTAAGTGAATGAAATAAAAACCACTAGTGTCAATGCTAAATTAGGTGGAAGGAAACAAGTGATGGAAACTCCAATTGTTCAAGTTGCTGCTACTTCATTAAGCTGGCCACATTACTCATCGGTTGTATTTTAGCTGCTGTGCTAGATATGCTCATAGGAAAACCTTAAATTACTGTTACTGCAGCAATGAGATTGTATTACCAAGCATTTCAGAGCATCTCATGCTTGAAAGTTGGACTTCTGATCTGCAACAGACTATGCCTCTTTGGCAACATTCACCATTATGACAAATGCCCTTTTCTCATTGATTCCTGCACTGTTCCCACTAAGTTTATCTACACTTTCAGAAGCGTGGAAAGGCAAGGAGAATGGATCAGGAGCATGTGAAGAAACTACTCACCTAGACACTGCATGAAGAAAACTCAAGCTTTGAACCAGACGTCTGATATATGCAATCCTACAGGTTACCAAAATTTTAAATAAACCCAATATTAATTATATTTTATGTGGATTAATAAGGAACTGAATTTGAGACTGATCTTCACTGCAATCCACAAGACAAAATAGCTGATCAGTGCTACAAAACTTGAAACTGACGTATTAGAGATGTAAAAGCTTTTAAGCTCTGAATTTCTACCTTTACAATGTCAAACTGAATATAAAATTACCAAGAGCAAAGATTTTTCCCACAAGTTCAGTATTGCTTCCAACGCAAGACTATCTACAATGCAAAAGAGCTCATTGCCATCTCCTTTCCTACAGTGCAGAGTTCTGAACTGAACTAATCTTACTTGTACTTCTATGTATAGCTTTGTTTCACCCATTTAATCAAAACCCTTCAGCTTTCACAGAACTCTGTGGTTTTGAGTTCCTCTTAGCCCCTTTACCAAGTTGTCTGAAGTCCTGAATTCAGATCTTTCTTAAGAAGCTACATTTTCTATCATGCTTGGCTTCACCAAATTCTACTTTGTCCATGTCGTTCTAGTTTGTAGGTCCCAACAGAATATAGTATTGCTGGAGAGATAAGCCAGAGCAATATAATGATGGAATATTATCTCCCTTCTCTGTATTACACCTTCAGAAATGCAGCTCAAACTGTTTTCTGTTTGGCTGTTTGCTGCTGACAGCATCACCTTACCAATTCATCAAATTTGCTGTTTACCCTCAATTCTAGATCCTTCACCATGACAGAAAAACGGCATTTCACATTTTTTCCCTGCTACATGGCCAGTTTTGGTTTGTTTTTTTTCCTGTCATGACCTCTTCCTACTACTACAGAAGGCTGGGTATACAGCATAGTGTAGACAGACATTTTTGATCTTCAAAAGATTTGAAGATTTTTGGTAATTGTGTTAAACTACAAACCATACCTGTAGAGAGACAGGCTACCAAGGAAAAAGATACCTGTCCAGCCTGTTTACATAGACTTTTTTGCCCCTGTATTACAAAAAGACTTAAGTGTATGTTACCAAGTTCTCACTTTAGCAGCATCCCAGTCATTGTTTTTAAAGGCACCCACTACAGTACGCAATACTTAATACCTCCACGGCACCTTTGGTGTCTTGCCAGGATATCACATTTCCTTTTTTTTCTAAGGTAAAAAACACCTGAACACCTGCTGCTTTACCATGTCTATTTACATATATACTTAGGTTACCAGCTTCAGGTTACAAAATGAATCAACAGCAGCAACTGGATTACAATGCAGGGCTCAGTTTCTAATACAGGTACTTGAACTAGATAAATAAGGCTGCAAAATGTGCCACTGTTTATTTTTTATCATTCTTCCCTGACTCTGGGCTGAAATTGGGAAAGTTGATTGGAACCCTGTGACTACTGTAATGTGTGCTTTACTGCAGGGGATCCTAATTGACTGTTTTGGCTTAACAGAGGAAAACAGCAAACAAAAAAACTCAAACAAACCAACCCAAACACACACACACACAAATGGCTACAGAAGTTACATGCAGATCACTGTTAACTTCACACAGACCAGGGGACTCAGCTATGGTATCAATGTCACAGTACCTCTATGGTGTTGGCTTGCCCCCCAGAGAGCCTGCGATTTGGCACAGTGCAATGAACATATAAGGCTCACAAGAAGGCTCCTGTGCCACCAGTGCAATTTGTCTACTACACAGATTCCTCAAGGATCACTGCACCACGCTGATGTAGCAGTGTGCCCCTATGCATATGCCTAAATGACCAAGTATTCAAGATTTAATCTTGAATCGATCAGGCTCACAGAAGTTAGATTTCAGCCGAATGACTCACCTACTCTTTCCTGCCTTCCCAGTAAATGTCCTACTAGGTAACGTTTACCACTACAGAAATTCTTTAAACCTGCAAGTTGGATTTTCAAGACAGCAAGTGGCTGCACTGCACAGCCGTCGTTCGCAAGCCGTCTTTGCCTAGCACAGCGCCAGTGTTCCTGCCCGTTCGGCTTCTGCTGACCTCTTAACCGAAGAGCACGGGCAGCTTGCTCTCCCCACGCAGAGGCGGAACGCTGGGACCTGCGGGACTCGGCATCCGCCGCCACCCCTGGGCCCACTCTGCCAGAGAGAGCTCGGCCCTTCGCTCTGGCGCCGGCGCCTCTCCTTCCCTCAGAGCCGCGGCACGACCCACCTTGCCCACTTGCAGTTATCTCGAGTAGCGCAACCGGTAACCCTAGACCGGTAAGACGTCTACCACTACCTCAGGCCACGCACCGCTTTACCATAACGCGAGGGGCGGCGGCCGTGGAGCGGCCGCTGCGCCGCGGCCAAGCCCCCAGCGGACCGGCGGACGGAGATCTCCGCCCCCACAGGAGCGGCCGCTGCCTCAGCGGGCGGTGCTTGCGGTCACACACACCCACAGACATCCGACAGGCATCCCACCTCCCGCCGGGCCGCCATCCCCGGGGAATTGCGGTCAAGTCACTTAACCCCCGGGGCTGAGACGAGCGGGAGAGGCGGCCACACCAGGGATGCCACCCACTCCCGGCACTCAGGCGGCAGCAGGGCGGCCAAGGTGGAGCTTTTAAAGCGCCCACGTCCCTTCCGGGCGCCTCCGCCGCGGGTGGGCGTGGCGTGCCAGGGGCGCCGGTGACCACCGGGAGCCGCCAGCGCCGCGCTGACGGACGGCCGTCTGTCAGTCAGCGGGGCGGTGGCTTCGCCGGGTCGCCGCGAGGGGGCGCCAGATGGGCGAGGTAGAGCGTTTGGGGGCTTTGTCGCCCTGGGTGTTTGCGGAGTGCCCGTTAACCGAGAAACCGTGATCTGCGGAGTCCGAACACTTCTTAACAGATCCGTTTTTGAACGGAGATCACCTCTTGGCCTTGGTGGCAGAGCAGGAAGGTGACAAAGCTGTAGGAGCGGTTCAGCTGAGCCCCGGGGGAGCAGGTACCAGAGGCGCGCCGGGCGTTACGCGTCTGGGTGCCCTCAGGGAAGAAATGGCGGCGGGAAGGCGGGTCGCGGGAGGGTTGCGCCCTCCGGAGGGACGTGGAACGTTCTGGAAAGTGGCGCGTGAGGAGGGTGGTGCTCCGGCTTCCTGGCACTCCTCACAAGGGGCACTGAGCTCCGCGGCTGCTGGTGGTCTGGAGAGGTAGGCAGGAAAAGTGGGGATGTGCCCAACCTCAGGGGAAGCTCGTAAGCATGTTCGTTAATGCTTTGCGAGCTTGGAGCCTGCAGCCTTCACTTCCACTTACCGCCAGAACGGGTGAAATTTCTATTTTCCCCTTACGAAAAGTGGAAGAGACTTTTTTTCCCCTCCAGTGGTTCACTGGTGTTGATAGGCAGTGGTCGTTTTAATTGAGTGGTAAAGTTAAAACTACAGCCTAAGAGAAGCCAAAGGATTTGGAAGACCATTTTCCAAAAGCACAGAGTAAAAAAGGTAATTGTCCACCTGAATTAAAAATACTTAGCCTTGTGGCCACTTTATATGACTGAGCTTTTTTAAGATCCAAGCTACCGGCTACGTACATCCCTCTATTCAGTGTTATTACAGTTATGTGATATATGCCCCCAAAAGTATCTTTCAGAAAGACAGCTGTTTTTTCAGTGCAATGAGTAAGCCACTGCTTTACGAGTTTGTTAAAGAGAACAAGCAACAACAACAAGCCCCAAACCCAAAACAACACACACAGTTCTCAAGCACATAGACACTGGAACCTGACCCATCCAAATTGCCTGGGACCTGCACAGGAGCACGAATGCCCCGGACGGGGGAAGCTAGCCGCCTAGGCGAGTGCCACTGATCCCGGCTCCTCCGGTAACCTGAGGAGGTCGCGGGGAGACGGCTGTGGAGGGCACGGGTGCATTCCAGGGGCCGCGCTTGCGGCTGCCCGACGAGCGGTTCACCGCTGCCGGTGAGCGGGCCCGTCAGCACCAGGGACAGGTGCCGCGCCCTGGAGCGCGCCTCCGCCGGTAGTGGCCGCGACGCTCCGCGGGGCGCGCAACCGTCAGCTCTCCTCGGCCTGTGCGGAGCGGGGTGGCAAGATCGCCTTCCTTACGCGGGGTCTCGGGTGGCGGCGCTTAACAATACCTTTATCATGTAAGAGTCCAAAAGTACGTCTCAAGAGTAAACCCAACCACTGTGAACACTCTCAGCACTTAAAAGACTTGTAGTTGAGGTTTAGTATTTCTTGCCTTAAGGAAACTAGTCTTTTTATGCCACATGTACACCATGATGTGCATTAAGTGGGCTCTTTTGGTCGGATACACAGGATGCACAGATGGCCAGGAAATCAATCTAAATTATCTCTGTGTTTATACTTGGCCAAAGCTCATGTTGAAATGGATTGTGACTTAATGGTAGTTACAGAAATATTCTACTGACAAGTCAGCTTACATCCCCAGAGAAAACATTTTGCATCTTGTCAAATGCCTGAATACATTGCTTTTCATGGAGCATTGAAGTTATCAATGTTACCACAAAAAGAATGCAGTTTGCATGACAGGTTTGCACGAATGCAACGAATAGAGCAGATCAGTTTTACTATGGATTATAAAACCAAAATCCTTGCAACTGTTGTTGGGTTTTGGAGGGGTGGAGTGTTTGTGGGGTTTTGTGGGGGTTTTTGACTTTCTTTTTTTGTTCTTGGTTGGTTGGGGTTTTTTTCCCCAAAAACATCACAAAACAGAAAATAAGGGGATGGTTGTAGTGGAAGGAAAGCATACCATAGAGTGTGCATACTCAGTTCTACAGATCACTTACTTTTTAACAGAATATTAGATACTACTTTTATCAAAATTGTTCATAGATAAAATTAAACATCTCATTAGGGAAAAAAATGATTATGCTGACAGCAGCATATTTAATTTGGTTTTTAATAAAGCAATTAGAAAATTGATTTTAAAGTGGCTGTTTCTGGCCACTGGTTCCTTAAGCCATGGAAATGTGAAAGGATTTTTTTAGAATTGCTTCTTACTATCCTGTTACCAGGACTATGAATAATTGCCTGTTAGATTAGTCCTGAGACAGCAGTGAAATTGTATGGTTAAGAAATTTACTCAAATCAATTTATCTAAACATTGCGCATATTTGTTTACAGTGGTGATGCTAATCAATTCTGATGTTGATAGATACTTCAATATCTACAAATTTATAAAAATAATGGATATTTGCAGGGCATAACTGTGCAAGGAGGTGCTTTTCAAGTCAGTGATTATTTGATTCCAAAGTTGGTATAACAAAAGACCTAAATATCTTTTACTTTTCTGTGAGAAAGCTTCAGAACTCCAAGAGATATTTCGTTTTTCAGGCTTGAATAAAGCTTTTGCCCTGCTGTAAGCCTCCCTCTTGTTTAAGTTCATACACTGCTTGCATCAAAGCTGTTTGATTCTCTTTAGGAAGATTAGGTGGGAATAAATGAGGTCAGAATCTGATTTGATTTTCTGTGGCACATGGCTAGGCACTTCTGTGTGCTCTGTACTAGACTCATCATATTCTGTATGCATGTGCATTTAAAACCCTCCTTAGACCTTCAGTAGCATATTTAAGGGGTAGGAGTTTTGATTGTCAGAGGCTTTTTGCAGTGGGATCTGTGTTAATGAGTATCAGGATGAAAATACATGCTTTGTTATCCTTGGAGTTAGTTGTAGCTCTTTGTCATCCTTTGAATTCCTCATCCACTCTGCTGTCTCTTAGAAGCCCTCTTTACATAACAAAAGCTGCAAAATGACCACAAGTAATTCTCCTTGTAGATTAATAAACCTTGTAGCATAAATGATGACTTAAGCTGGAAAACACCATCCAGATGGAGGTAAATTATGTCTATTTTATTATGAATACGGTGATGATCTGTTAGATTATTCCATCCTACATGTGATAAAAAAAAATCATATTTAGATTTAAGGGCTTATACCTGAATCTTTACAAGGCCTTTAGCAACCTGTTTTTCTGCTCCCTGCTCCCATCATCAACAAGGATGACTGCACATTGGCACATAATCCTGTTCTGATAAGTGGCAGATCAGTTCTGCTTCAGAATTTTATTTGTTTGAAATAGGATGGAATCCAGTGCATGTTGCTCAGTAAGTTACTCACAGGCAGGGAATTTTGAAAGTATGGGAGCTCTACCTGCTAAGCACTCTCTGAAAGAGCCTACGAACTTCTCAGAAACTTCTGCATGTTTTTTGAGGGGAAAAAAATCCTCTATTCTCTTTTTCAAGCAAGGACTAGTCACAGTATTAAACTTGCACTTTAAATAATGTTTAAAAAATACATTGCTGCCCTACCAATGGCCCTGGAATAGTTCTGTGAAACACCTTCAGGATCACCACTTATTTTGCAGAAAATCTTAGGGAAATGTTGCAAGCACAGCTCAGGTGAGGATCATATTTTTAAAGCAATTCTACTTTGGTAATTTTACCCTTGTAAGACAGAGATCTATCATTCCTATTTTCAGTCTTAGCAGTTTTGCAAAATTCCTAATACTGCCCACATAGAAGAGCAAACAAACAAGCAAACAAAATGATAAAAACATCAAGCTGTTACATAGAGTTCAATAAAACTCTGTGAATTGCAACACTATAGTTTTAATTAAACAAAAAAGAAGTCTGTTCATGTGGTAACCTTGGACTGTTCCTGTTATTTCCCTGAGCTACATGATTAGCATAACATTCCTAGTACAGGGTAAAACCAGAGTTATAGCAGTAGGTAATTCAAGATGGACTGTCAGCAGGATAAACCCCAGCAATACAGCTTGACTCATAACCCAGGCTGCTTTCATACTTGGGCCCAGTCTAGCCTCAAAATGTCAGTGTTGACTAACAAATATTGTGCTCCCATTTTAGACAGAAGAAAAGCTGGAATTCTCTTTAAATTTAAACTTGATTTATTTTCAGTTACTTTGTCTAAATAAATGTCAGCCTCTTAATTCTAGCTCACTGTTCAACTGTAAGTATTCAGTTGTAAATGCATGCTATATGTATGAAGGGACAGGTGAATCTCTTTCCACCTGTTTCACTCAATATCTCTCTGCATCTCTCAGTTGTAATCTGATAAATCCATCATTGCATCTTTCTTAAAACAGGCACTGCTAATCCTCTTTTTGAGTATGGAAAAAGGTTTAGTTTGCAATCTTCATGCAAAACCTTCCTAATTTTGCCTTGCAGCAGACTAAGGGGTATGGTCATTTACAGACAAACTTGGGCACTGCAGTAAATTGAATTGTCAAGGTCACAAAGGGAGTTAATGCCTTACTCGTGCTCAAAACTGATTATCTTGGATACTTACCACAAGGCAGTGTCAGCTGAGTATCAGTCTTGTTCAGTTTGGTTACTTGG